TCTCTCTTGCTTTTTTTCCTTTCTCTCCCCCCTCTCTCTCTCTCTCTCTCTCTCTCTCTCTTTCAATATCTTTCTATATCTTCCTTTCTCCCTCCCTCTTTCCTTTTCTGTATTCTTCCTCTCTCTCCCTCTTCTGTATCTCTACCCCTCTTTCACTTTCATAACTCTTGTATCCATCCTCCACTCGGGGTACCACATAGAGCTAGTGCATATAAATACACGTATATCTCATCCTATCATGTATGTGTGTCACATGTATTCAGTAAGGGAGCAAGTGTTGAGGTATTTTCTTCTACAGGTATAAGATAGATAAGATAAGATAACATGATATTGATCTCAACAAAGAGAAATGTGCTTCGGCATGATAAATACATGTACATCTCTCTCTCTCTTTGCCTTCTCTCCCCCCTTATCCCCCCCTTCCCCTCTCTCTCTTTCTCACACACACACACACACACACACACACACACACACACACACACACACACACACACATACACACACACAATCACAAATTTGACAATCACTGAATAGCTTAAGATGTGTTTTAATAGTGTTTGTGTGTGTGTGTGTGTGTGTGTGTGTGTGCTAGCTATGATGAACGAGTACAGACTGTCTATAGAAACAGCTTGCCAGAGTCTATTGTCCTCTAGTACATGTGCTAGAGTGTCTTGCTGCTCCATTGTGATGCTAGTAGTAATGATAGTTACAAACATTACCCTAATGGCAATCGCATAAAAATAGATGGAAATGACAATTTTAATGATAATTGAAGTATATGCCATAGTAATAATGATAATTACAATAATAGTAATAGTAACAATATAAATTGTGAGATAATAATGATGATAATGATAATAATAATAACAAAAGTCACTATAATAATGATAATAGAGAACATTATGAATAAAACAATGACAACAACAACAACAGCTATGGTAGTGATATAAAAACCCATGATAATAGTAGTAATACACATGTAAATGACATAATGGTAACAGAAATACATAGATGGCTGTGATACTGATTTAAGTAGTAAAATGCTTGGATGTTATTTAAAGAACAAAATTCAAGAGCAGTAGCTATAAGACTTGTCATGATAAATGTACAAAACAGTAAGGACTTCTTTTTAACCTACCAATATCCTCAAACAGGTTTCTCTATTCATTCTTGCTTATAAACCCGCACAATCACTGATCAAAGGTGGAATTCAACTCTTGATCGTCTGTGCCTGGATACTTTTGTTAGTGTGTTCGTCTGCTTTTCTGTTTTTAGTGGATGTATGTGTGTATCATTTTCTTCGATACCCCCTTGGTGAGACTTATATTGTCACCTCCAGGGCGGTGCCACTGACTGAAGTGTCTTTAGGCCATTCCC